TTGCATAGATGGACTTAATTGCCACCACGATCAAGATACCGAGCGGTTCCATTACCCCATAAAGCTCCCTCGATCTGCCCATGATAGGTCCGCCCTCGCCCAGCCCTGGCAACCACTGAAAACCAAGACCGGTGTGTCTTTCCGAGCACTCCCTTTGCTTTGCTACCCCCGCTGCATGTTCACTTGTGGGTGCAAAGAACTCCTGATTCCACACTGGTAGACTTTCTCCTCAATTCTTGCTGCTCTGTTACTGCTGCCAACACTTGCTAGCATCTCATATGTACCCGTCACTTGTACGGAGCTTATTCCATTCACTATCTCACTTTAATCTTACAATAGCCTTATGATACATGTACACCATTATTATCTTCACTATACAGATATAGAAGCTGAGGGTCAGAGACGTTAAGCGACTTGCCTAAGGCTTCACAGGTCACAAATAATTGAACCGCAGCACAGACCCAGCTCTGTTTGACCACACATCCATAAACACCAGAGTAAGAAATAGAAGGGAAGGGACTGTAACTAGGAAGGAGGCACACAGGCAGGCCAGCAGCAGAGCCAGTTTTGGGCCGTGTGTTTTTTAAAAAGGTTTACAAACGTGTGTGGAGCTGGAACCATTTGGATCTCCTGACTTTTCAATATCAGGTCCTGCCCTTTTTCTTCTCCACCTGCCTCATGTAGTTCTTGCTCATGCGGGTGACACCTGCCCACTGTTTTCAGGGGCTTGGGATGGTTTTAGTCCCTTTGCAAATGCAGCAAAAGCCACTGTCTGTGTGACAGCTCTGCTGCAGGACACAGCCTCTGAGGCCCAGGAGAGGAGCTGGATGCCTTCTGACTTCTCCTCAGCCTCAATCCCCTCATGGCCTTTCTGACCTCATTTTCCCCTTTGGTTGCTTGCAACACCAGCTGAAAATGTTTCTGGGGCTCTGCCACATGGTCTGTGAGCTGGAGGTGTCAGGTGTGTTCTTGCTGAGAAGGGGCAAGAGCGACAGGAACGTGTGTGGTTGGCATCATGTGTAACAAAGCAGGGAGAAAGTGCCACCCTGCAAGACCCAGGGCGGCAGCGTTTGTGTTGGGGATAGAGTGAGAGGCCGGGGAAGGGAAAGAGCAGTTAATGAATGATGGGTGAGGCTGGGGGAGTGGACTGCTGCTTGACCTGCACATGGTGTCCTTTGAGCTTGCTTTGGGGAAGTGAGGTTAGCTAGTTTTTCTCCTAGAGTCAACTCCGTGCTCCTTTAGGGTCTTGGAAACCAGCTGCCTAACCAGCACATTCTGGCAAGAATCACACATCCAAATCATGGCCATGGACCATTTGGAGAAAAATAAGACAAGCCAGAAATGTGGATACAAAGGGCCATTTCTATGTTAATGGATGACACTCCATTAACAAAGGGTGAAAGAGGGCACGTTTAGAGTGGGAAGTGTTGAGTCATTTCAGTAACAGTAACAGCTAACGTTTATCGAGCATGAGATATGAGCCAGTCCATGCTAAGGGTGATTGAGATGAATCATCTCATTTATTTTTCACAACAACCCTCTGAGATAGGTCCTACTATTCTCTCCAATAAGCGGATGGGGAATTGGAGGCCCAGAGGTTCAAGTGACTCACCCAAAGTACACAGCTCTTGAGGGACGGAAGCAGGGTTTTTGGAGTCTGATAGTTTTCAAATCTAAGCTCACAAGTTCTTAGCTTTGCTGCTTTACTGCCTGTCTTAATTCAGAAATATTGAAGGGTGGCTGACTGATGATGAGAAGGCATCAGCTGTTCAGGAGCTCATAACCTTCTTGAGGGCTTGCAAAGGGCCTCTGGCTTGACTGTAGTTTGGGAAAGAATCCGCAGCAGTGGGGTTTGCACGGCCAGGGGACCTCCCAGAGTCTGTGGGTCTCAGCTGTTGGTCTGAAATGATGGCATACTGTAGAAACCTACAGCCATTTCTCAAGTTTTCTTTTTACACAATAGGCTTGGGAGGGTTTTGGACAGGTAGGCACAATGGACTATTTTCTCTCTGGGGCTGGCCCATGAGGTGTGACTGCTGGTTCCGCCCTAGCGCTCTGGCTGGTATAAGAAGGACCTGGCTCTTGGAGCCGACTGGAAAAACCCTGGTGAGCCTGTTTAGATGAGCGTAGATGAGCAAGAGCAGACTTGGGCTTGAAAAGTTCATGGACAGGAAGTCAGACGTGTTCTTTCAGGGTGCCCGGCTAGCACGGAGTCCCCTGGGAGAGGTGCTTTACAAGATGGCACCTTGCAGCCATGGGCTATTTATGCCCTCTTAGGGAGCATTTTATACTTAGTATTAACCTGGCGTGGACCATCATAGACTCAGGCTCGATGAGAATACCTATTACATTCCCCCTGCAAGGCCTATCACTTCTTCTGTTTTGTAGAATGCCTCATGCATGGTAAGGCATGAAAAACAGCCAGGAATGATATTTACCATGATAAGGATCTTCCAAATGCCTTTCATCTAAGGATCTCAATGTGCTCTGAAAATACTAATGAGTGAAGTCTTACAATGGCTCTCTGTTCTTATGATACATTTTTCCATTTTGCAGAATTTTAAATCGAGACCCAGCAAACTTAAGTGGCTTGTGCAAACTCATACAGCAAGTTTAACTGAATGACAATGATGCTGCTTTGCATTTACACGGCATGTGTTTTCAAAGTTGATAGGAATATGTTGCAAAGGTAATTTCCACACCATCCAGGAGGGAAGTGGGTAGCAAGTATTATTAGTTGTTGACTAAACTGGGTAAACAGAGGGGGCAGGAAGGGCACGTTAACTTTGTAAGGATTTGACTGAAGAATCAAGTCCCGCTTCTGCCTCAGAACACAGTGTGATACCCCGGATACTCCTCAATTCTCTTAACTGGGGGATGCATGATTGCTTTGCCATTTCTAGGAAATACAGCTATGTTTTGGGGAGCAGAGACACGGTGCAGAATGACAGCCAGACTTACACCCAGGAACAGGTTTGTTCAATATCCCAGCTGAGGGAGGCGAAGGGGATGAGACGAGCCATTTCAGGGAAGGATGGCACAGGAAATGAAGGAAACAGGGCTGCTTGTGGGAGGCCACCAGCTCTGCTTTCTCACCCTCTTAGTGACCCAGGTCCTGCCTGAAAGCAGGTTCTGTGTTTCAGCCTCACGACAGAACTTGATCCATCGCAGCTCAGATGATGGGCTCCACGCCGTCACTGGCAACTCCTGGCTGACGTTGTAAGTGCTTGGGCAACAGTTCCAGGGACACACAGTATCTTCCTGGCTGTCTCTCACAAATGACTGGCTCTTACCCCCGTGGCTCCCTATGCCAGGCGGGACCTGCGGGACGTCCATTTGTTGCCCCCTTTTCTTAACCACACAGCCACATCAAAAAAGACTGAGAACGTGAACAAATATTCAAAGGCGGTAAGGGACTGGTTCCCTCCCAGTCTGGCGGCACTTCCTTAGTGAGCCACGATGCTCTGAGGGGGACGCCAGTCCGGCTGCGCAGGGTGGGGTGGGGGAGGCTGCTGGGTCTTAGGAATTCAAAGGAGGATTTGCTCTCCCCACGCCCCAGACAGAGCCCAGTTCTCTCTAAACAAAGCAGGTTTGGGAAAAGCTGGCTCTCCTCCCCCACCACCCTTTTCCAGGAATGTGGATTCTGATTGATGACTAGACCCAGGGCTAGCAGGGAACCTTAGAGAAGGGCGCCAGGCCCTTCTCTGGAATGTGTTGACACACACAAGCGCAATGGCAATGAAAAGTCGTGTGAGTGAAGAAATCACACCAAGGTCCCGCTTCTCCTCGCTCTCGCTTTTGGATGTTTCCACAGCTCCCTAGCGCGTGTGCAGCTTAAAGGCGCAGCGAACTGAGGGAGGGGTGATCTGGTGGAGGGAATATTTTAGAATATCGTTCTGAATGCGCATTGCAAACCCACTGTCCCTCCCCTGTGGAGAAGAACCAGCAGAAGACCCTCCCACCACGTTAGTCTTCACAGCAGGGAGTCCTGAGACTTGGCTGTCAGTTTTAAAGCTTATTTTAGGCAAAGCTTCACAGAGTGCATCTTTAACTTTGCAAGTGTGCTAATGACCCAGGCCACAGTTTTCTGTATCCACTTCCACACAATGGCTCCAAAAGTGACAGTGTAAATGACAGCCCAGTGACCCTGCTGGACTCACGGGACCATGTCCTTCTCCTGAGACACCCTTACACTGCTCCCCACAAGGCTCACAGCCAGGCAGATAAAGTCCTCGGGATACGTTTGCACGGCTGCACGGAGCAATTCACATTTTTCAAACACCAAAAGCACTTGTACTGGATGACCCCCTGTGGCTCTACCCGGTCTGCTGTTTCTTCCTGCAGCTGCCGAGGTGCATTTTATCTGTGCGTTATCATTCCGTAAAGGCAGACACATCTGCAAGGCTTCTGCACGCATCTGCTGGCCTCACAGCCCAGCCTTCCCTATCATCCGTCCGCCCACATACACGCTTCCCTCCTGCACCATCTTGGGGAGTCAAGCACCTTGATTGCTTCGAACAGATTATTAATGAGCATTGTCATAGCAGCACTTTAGGATTAGGGGTGGAAAGATGGATCTGGGTAAAATTCGAACAAAACCTGACACTTAGCAACATCTCAGAGATCTCAAAAGCAAAAAGCAGTTGGGTTTGTTTTCTCTGTTTCCCGTCCTCACTTCCCAGGCACTGTTTTGGCCTCAGAACAGCAGACATGAAAGAGCATGAAAAAGAGCCGAGAAGGTTTTCCTTGTCCTACCAGCTTCTGGACAAGAAGCAGGGCGATCCTAGGAAGTTTCACGATTTTAAGGGTTCCCGGATAGATGACAAAGGCTCAGAATCCACCCTGTTTCAGTAAAATCATCACTGCCCACGGAAACTTATCTCTGGGGGACCTTGGCAGCCCACTTTGAAATGTAACTGAAAGCTGATAACCCCTAACCATTGGTGTACACAAATCCAACCTCCAAGTGACCCGATACGAACAAGTAAGTTCTCTCTTACCCCATCCATGTGGATTCGGACATTAGGCACCGGTTGGAAAGGGCTGGACTGCAGACCTTTGGGGGCGGCGCTGCCTTTCTTGCAGTCCTGCAAGGTCAGCGTGCCAGGCCTGCGGAAGGAGCCCGCTCTCCCTGAGCTCTGGCCTGCACGCACACCATCCAGAAGACGGACGAGCAGCAGGTTGGCCGGCAGCGCCTCGATGCCGCAGAACACCAGAGTCCTGCACTCCGGGCACCTCAGCTCCTTGTGGGCCTTGAGGATCCTCTGCAGACACGGCTTGCAGAAGGTGTGCTGGCAGGGGAGGACTCTGGCTGTGACATCCAGCCTTTCAAAGCACACGGGGCACTCCAGAAGATCGAGTAATGTCAAATCATCCATTTTATTTTAAAACTCCTGTCCTCACCTGGAGGGGCAAAGTCCACATCGTAGGGTCCGCTGAGCCAAGGGCCCGATCCGTCTCTTGGGGGCACCAGAATTCCTGCCTGATTGAAGAAGAAAGAAAGTGAGGAAAGAAATGTGGCCGCTCTGAGAGGTGTACCCCACCTACATGGAGGCAGCGTCTCACAAGGCACTTGGCAAGCACTCCGCTCCAGCGCCCGAGTCTCAGATGACTCATGCTGATTCAGGGCTGGCAGGTAGAGGACCGACTCCGGCCTGCTCTGAGGTCTGGGTCAGCGTTGGGCGGGGGCTGCCTGCCTAACTGGCTCCCTCAAGATCGCAGGCCGAGAGAAGGGAGATGCAAGTGGCCAGTGGAAGGGGCACCCCCCACCCCTCTCTGCCAGGGCTCGAGGGGGTCCCTTACCCCACCAGGCCGTCAGTCCCGGTTCTCAAGTCCAAAACCCCTCAGAATGCAATTTCTGTGAGGCTGTCTGCTCCTTCTTTCCCTTATCTGTCACCTGGAGCGCGTGCAGACCAGCCAAGTTTACATAAATGAGTTTATTTGAATCTCATGCAGACGTACAATTATTTTCTTCACCCTTTCTGTCCCCTCCCTCCTTCCCTTCTCTCTCTTTTTCCTTCTTCCTTGGTTTTCTGAGCCTCAGACCTGTTCCTCCCATGACACAGAGTCCCACAGCCTGTTCAGTTTCTTTGACAACTGTTCCCAGTCTCAAATGGAGCAGACGGGAATTCTGGGCGGCGGTCCCACTTGCAGACCAGGACGGGGCAGCCGGTGCAGGTGTGTGCGCGCGGGGAGGGGCTGGGAAGCATCGCTGTCCCGGGGACTGTCCTTTTGGATGTCTGAAAAGAGGTCTCCGGGCTCTAGAAGGCTCCCTGGCCGCTGGACGCCGGGCAGGAGGCGCTGGCCCCACTGGGGGGCACAGGGGACAGGACACACCGGGAGGAGGGATGGCGCTTCTCTGAAAGTGTCAGCACTGGGCAGGCATGTCGGGGCCACTGACCTTGAGCGTGTCACCCAGCTGGGTTCAGCTCGGCGGGATCCTCTGCTTGGCCTGCGCCCTCCAGCTCGCCTCCCCTTCTCCCAGAGCCGCAGCAGCCGCTTTGAAAACTTGAACAACTCAGAGTCTTACTCACTTCAGGGGATCGCCTTACCCAGCCCTGTTAACGCTTTCGTCACCGGGACGGGGCCAGCAAGCTCCCTGGGACCAATCCTGCCTTTGTGTAGCTGGGCTGACCTCTGGGAAAAGATTATAAGGGGAAAAATACGAGCCAGTCCGTAAGGCCGAGTGTTTACAGTTTATATTTTCACCTTTTTCATCTTCTCTCCTACCCAAGAAGTTGGAACATGCTCAGGTATAAACACACCAAGTGACTGTGTTTATTTAAAACCTTTATAGGGATTTCCTGGAAAGGTCAAACATATGAATGGTAGGTGGCTATGATAATAAAGACAAGCTGCTCACCTAAAAAATACTGCTCCTTAAATCTCATAGTCAATCTGAATTTAGAGGTTTGAGAGGGACTTTAGTGATCTTTTTGCTCAATATCTTAAAATTAAAAAGAAGTCTCATGGTAGTACACACACATCTTGAGAAATCAAAGCACAACAGGGCTTTCAAAAGGGAAGGCGATGGGCCCGGCTCTGCCTTTGTGCTCTGCCCGCTGGAGTCTCCTCACGGGCCAAATACTGCTTATACTTCGAGTTCTTGATTTATCAGTGATATCGTTCATGTGAAGTTACAAAGATCTCCAATAAAGTAAATAATAATAATATTGTTATTATTTAACCCCAGAGGAGCCCTTGTCTGGGCCAAGCACTGTTCTAAATACTTTACCTATTTTAACTAACGTTTTCAGCGCTCCTCTGATACACTTTGCTCCTCTGTACCTCGTTTGACAAAGGAGGAAACAGACGCAGAGAAGTGAAGTAGCTCATCCGGGAAGCCACAGCAGCAAGAGGCCAGGGGTCTGGGCTCTTCACTGTCCCGTCCGGCGGTGATACAGCTTTAAGGGGAGGAGAGATGGGCGAAGGGCAAAGATAGTGACCAAGACCCACCAATCAGCTTCTCCTTAGATGAGGCTGCCGGGCCCAAGGACATCCAGAGGGTCCTTGTCGCTGCTCTGTGCGTTAGGGGCAGAACTGGGACTAGACACTGGGCGCTCTCGTAAGCTCTATCTTCTTTCTCACCACAAGGATGACAGTTCCTTATCATGCAGAAAAGCACCTAGCTAAAACTCCGGGAAAATCTTACGAGGGGACCACAGGACTGAGAACAGATTGCGGTGGTTTACATGTTTTCCAAAGTTCTTCCATGTTGGTTCTGAAAAAGCAAACACGCATAGGCTCAAAACAGAGGCGAGCTTCAGGATGGAACCGAGGAAGTCACCCGTCCTCTGAGCACAGGGGCCTCATTTGGAGAGGTGTCAGTTTCAGATGCCACTTTCACCCCCTATCACCCTGCCCCCATCCTTTTCCCATCTCCCTTTCATGGAGGGTTTTTTGAGCTTCCACAAAATCACATCCCATTCTGACTCCTTCAATTAATTTCCACTTTCACAGAGTCTGTGCCCCTTGGGAAGCCCCCTGCAGTCGGACCCTCTGTTGTGTGTCACTCTGGTCCCCATCTGGTAAAGCTGAGCTCCTCTGGAAGCGAGCTGCCCTGCAGCCCTTCACCCCTAGACGGATCTGCTCCAGGGCCTGAGCCCCTGCTTCAGGGGTGGGCCACCTAATACTCTCCTTCCTTCCCTCCGTTGTTCTTAAACACACTCTGTCTCCCTTAGATGCCCCAGTCCACGCCTACAGGCACATGTACACACATGCTTGCAGAAGGACCGAAACACATACAGTCTTAACAGTAACATTTACAGAGCATTTGCTGTGTGTCATGGGCCAGTGCTAGACTTTAGACAGATCATCTCATTACATCCTCCCAACCACCCCATAAGGGAGGTGCTGTAACTTTCCTAAGGTCACAAAGCCTGTGGTCTGAAACCAGGTTGGTCCGATCCTGGGGCCTGTGCTCCTTACCATTATCGTTTCCCATGTTTTAAAGTACACCCATGTGTCTTCACTGTACAAACCCACACACATTTACACATATGTCCATATCGTGCATCCTAGCTGAACCCTGAGGAGCTTGGCCTCCCTGACTCTCACTGTCAGTAGCCCACCCAGTCTCATGGCTCTCCACGCCCCCTCTCGGTCAGTGGGCTCAAAACACTCCCAACCTCCTGTCTCCGAGAAAGCACAGCCCCCCAGCTCCTTCCTAGGCAGGCAGGGGCAGTGGGACCCCCTGCGCTAGTGTAATGGGCAGCTGGGCATTCAGTGGGATGGAGTCGTGATGGTGAGACCTCAGGCTCCGCCGGAGGATGGAGAAGTTCACATTGGACGGGAGTGCTCCCCTGGCACCCCCAAACCACCCCCTGCAGGTGGCCCCAAACACCACCCACACAGGAGCTTAGTCTGGTGGAAACTCGGGGAGAAAATTTCTCATGAAACTTCTGAAGAAGTGGGAGAATTTTAAATGGGTGATTTCATCCTGGCTTTCTCAAGTGCTGTCATGGCATCAAATCAGATGAACAACTAGTCCTCAAAAAGCAAACAGAAAGGTGAGCTGTGCCTGCCTTCCCAGACTCCAGGCTCAGCCCTCTGCCCCCACCCCTCGCACCCCTCAGCTCTCCGTCTGTATTTGTGCGGTTAGGTAGTGATTTCAGACTGCACTCTTTTTATTTATGTACCTTGTGATATACGTGAGTTTCTGCAGCTTGCATTTACATCTTGATTCAAGTTCAAAAAAGTGCAAATCTGATCGTGCTGTTTCCCTGTTCAAAACCCTTCAGCAGGTTCCCATCGATCCCAGGATAAATCTGAAATCCTTCTTCTGACTTAGCAGGCCCGGCGTGATCTGGCTCTTGTGCACGTCCCCGGCCGCAGCTCACCCCGTATCTTCCCTCTCACTCGGGTCCTTTCTCTCGTCGCTCAGGACAGCTCGGCTCTTTTCTGCCGCAGGGGATTTGTTCGTGCTCTTCTTTCTGCCTGCAACACACTCCCCACCTCGTCCTCTCTTCCCAGTTACCCTCCCCTCCACCTTTGTTTTTTCAGCCTCCTCCTCTGCAAGTCTTATCTTAACTGCCATTTCCTCAGGAAAACCTTCTTTGATTTTTCATGACTAGAAAGTTTACCATCCTACCGTTCTTTATGACAGTTATCACAATTGTAATTCAATAATTATATTATAATGATTTATTTAATACTTGATCCCCCCAAATGGAACAAAAGCCCCAGGAGAGCAAGGCACTTCTGCGTCTTGTCCCCGTTCCATCCCTCACGCATAACAGTGATTGGCATGTGGTGGATGTTCAATAAATGTTTTTGGGTGGGTTTATGAATGAAGGAAGGAATCATGTTCTTAAAAAATTGTGTCTGGGCAGATATGCCTCAAACTGTTGATAATGATTTTATATTGGGCATCTCTTGGGTGCCACTTTGAATGTTCTCAGCCCCACCTCTTATTTAGGTTAAGTTTTGCCAGATTCATTTGGTTGCTGTTTGGCAATGTCTTTCCTCAGGACCCGGCCATGTACCTCTTGCTCCCAGCCTCAGAGCTTCTCTGATGTTGCAGAATGAACCACCCAGGGGAGCTCATGCCACACTCACATGCGCGTGATCCAGAGGTGAGGACCGTCTTTGACCAATGAGGAGCGTATGGACAGAGCCTCCCCCATTCATCCTTTGGAGTAGGCGGTCCTGATATTTCATAAGGCTCCTAGGAAGGTTTGGTGGGATGTGTACCATTTATCCGCCGAGTGGCTGATGCAGTAGTGCGTCCTTGTACTGTCTCTCCCTTATTTGCTGTTATCACTCTCCCATCCCTGACTGGTGCTCCCGAATAAATTACCTTCAGGCAAGCAAGCCTTTGTTTCAGGCTAAAACCGTTTCTTTCAAATTTAAAATCAAGTCACAAAAAAAAGCAGGCTTTTGTCAATCAAATTTATTTATTGGAGTTATAATTTTAGAGATGTGTTCTTTTCACTTGACTGGCTCTTAACCCGTGGGTGGTCTCAGATTCTTTGTCATAATATGAATCATGTAAACAAATCCTTAGGTCCATCAGAGGAGTTCAGGTAGTTGGAAACCTAAAGCATTAGAACTGCCTGTCATGGGACTCCTGTTGGCAAAAGCCAAATACTTCTCTGCTCTCTTTCCTCAGTTCCTAGTATGAATTTGGATATGTTTCGAATATTTAAATGGAGCTATATTATCTGTTTCCAAGATGCTGAATTTGCCCCTCTGATTTGGTTTTCTAATAATCCTGGGAGCCGTTCAGAACTGCTCAGAGAGGAATGACTGGAGGAAACCGGGTGCCTTCCAGGAGAGGAGCCATGCAGGAGGGCAGGGCCATGGGGCCGAGTGGCCAAGAGACATTCTGGCCTTTGAAAGATGCAGGCCCAGAATGAAGTTAACTGCGAGGTTTTCCTCTCTGGTCAGGAGGATGTTTGCAGGTGAGGAGTGTACCTTAGGCTATTCTTAGGAAATCACCAGGCTCACAGTAATGTGACCCACACTTCTGGCAAGAATAACGAGTCACCCCAAATTTTCTAGAGATGACTTATGGTCCTTAAATTTAATAGAAACAGTGTGAACCAGCAGTCAAAATTATGGTTTTAGAGTCTAATAGAGCTGGTCTGAATCTCAGCTCTGCTAATTACTAGATGGATCACTTGGGCAAATTATTCCATTCCCCATCCCTTGGACCCCCCATGTGTAAGTGAGGTTGTCCATAGGACCCACCTCGCTGGTTCGGTTTGTTCTGAGGAGTCAGTGAAATGATGCCTACAATCAGTGCTTAATAGATCCTTTGTTTTTCCCATCTTTCTTCATTTTTGTAAGCAGATCCCATGAGAAA